GCCTTTCTAAGAGACTTCTCTTAAGTGGTCCCGACGCAAAAAAGAACATACAAGACCGACTCTTTCGACCCCGCCGCTATCGTAGATACGTTCTATTACATCGATAAGAATGAGTAGTGGCCTTCGCGGCCGCGACTTATATGTTCTTTATGTCTTTCCCTCACTCACGTTTTCTCAAGGAGGAGGACGGTGGAAGTCTGATCAGTTGAGGAGAGAGGGAGAGAGGACTCTACAGGTCTGAATGATCGTGACGAGAGAACGTATGAAACACATCACGTGCCCGCTGTTGCTCAGATAGGGGCTGCCTTGATGAGGTCTCCTGCTGCACCTGTTGTTATTTATGATGAGACTCTTTGTCTCAATTCACGGCTATCTCCCGAGACAGGAGCAGGAAAAAAAAGGCACAAAAAGATGGATAGCTCTCTTCGAATGTGACATGCCTTGAAATATGCATCTTCTTAGTCACAGGTCTCCTTTTTTTCCTTTTTGAGAATAAGGATACCCTAACCTAAGGTCATCCTTTCTTCAATCTTAGTTCTTCAATCGTGATCGTATGATAAAATTAGGACTGTGATAAAGATAAACGAAATCACTATTTATTTTTGCCTACATTGAAAAGACTTTTCCTCTACATATATATAAAAGCGAACGGATGTGACCAGCTGCTACGCAAGTTTCAAATGTGCCTGATAATCGAATCAAAGAGAGGGAGATCCTAACAAATCTCGATTGTCATTAGAAATGAGTAAGAAGGAGCAAGCTCTATACCGTTAAAAAACAAAGAAAAACCTATTCAAATCCAATAAATCACGTTGACCACATGCCTCTCGCGCCACCACGTTGGAGAAAGAAACGTCAGACGACCACGTCAGACGCGGAATATTACATGTGGCACGCAGTCATTGACCGATCAGTAGCCCCACTCTATTTCCTAACGCTTCCTCTAACCTGCCACAAAATGTCTCTATAATCCCCTCTCTCTCATACATTCCCCCTCTCTCTCTCTCTCTCTCTTAAAAATCGTCTATAAACCTCTCTTAAATGACCATTTTAACTCTCTCTCCTCTACAAAAACACTCTCTCTCTACAAAAACGCGCACTCTCTCTCTATCTCTATATCCTTGGTCGTGCACTCCAACGAGTCGTCTATAAAATATTCTGGTCTTCATTCCCATCTTCAGAAGCCGTCTGCAAACATCTTCACATCAAATCTCTCTACAAGGTGTTCCCCGTCTCTTTCTCTCTCTTGACATCTCTCTATTTTTTATTTTTGTTGACATTTCTCTCTCTAAACAACTCTCACGAGTTCATTTTCAATTCCAATACCTCCCGTCTGCATTTCCCCTTCGTCTTAATCACCTTATCTCCCTCTCCAATCCATTTTCGCCCCAATCAATCAATCTCGCTCTCTTTCTCTCTCTAAAATCCACAATGGGTATGTGTCTGAGCCACCAGGAGACTCCACCGGAATACCCCACCAAGCCCGGAAACCACACACCACACCACCCATCTCCCGGAAACCATACACCACGCCATGGGAACCACACCCCTAACCACCCCTCTCCGGGGAACCACACGCCACACCGCCGCTCTCCGAACCATACACCGCCCCTCTCGCCGGCCCGGTTCTTCAACCTCCGCCCCCGCGTCGGCACTGTCCTCGGCCGCCCCCTGGCCGATGTCTGGGCCTCCTACAGCAAGGGCAAGGAGCTCGGCCGCGGGCAGTTCGGCATAACCCACCTCTGCACCGACCTCTCGACCGGCCGGCAGCTCGCCTGCAAGACTATTGCCAAGCGCAAGCTCACCCACAAGGATGACATCGAGGACATGCGGCGCGAGGTCCAGATCATGCACCATCTGGCCGGCCATGAGAGCATCGTAGAGCTGGTCGACTCCTTCGAGGACCGGCATTCGGTGAATCTCGTGATGGGGTTGTGTAGCGGAGGTGAGTTGTTCGATAGAATTATCAAGAGGGGGCATTACAGTGAGAGAGAGGCGGCGGGGCTGGTGAGGGCTATGGCAAGGGTTGTGCATACTTGCCATTCCATGGGGGTTGTGCATAGAGACTTGAAGCCTGAGAACTTTTTGTTCCTCAGTGAGGAGGAGGACTCGCCTCTTGTGGTCACTGATTTTGGGCTCTCTGTTTTCTACAAGCCAGGTACGTGAAAATTATTTTATTTTAATTAATCAAAAAAATCAAACAGTTTTATTCCATTGTGCGTGAAAATTGTTTTATTTTAATTATTGGAAAAATTAAATAATTTTATCAAATTTTATCCTTTTGGGAAAGATAAGATGACTTTTTTTTTTTTTTTCTGGGGGTGGTAAATTAGATGGGATTAGATGTGAAATGGGTGTTTTTTTGGCTTTAGGTTTTTAGTGCAAACTATTTTTTTTGTTGGGTTTTTAAACGTGAGATTATTTATCCATGGGATAAAGAGGTAACAATTATTTGTCATTTTTGGGATGTGAAATTTGATAGCTTGAATGTGTTGTAAATTTTAAAAAAAAAAATTTAAAAAATTTTCACGACAAATAGTCAAGATTAATTGTAACCACCATAAATAGTCTCATTGAATGCTTTTCCTCATTTTATTTAGCCGTCGATTTGGTCCAAAACAAGAGAATTTTGCTTTAGGGCGGTCTTTTAGAGAGAGGTTAATGGCCGTCTTTGATTAGAGAGAGCCCAAATTTTTGCGAGATTCCGGCGAAATTTGTGGAAATTAGACCAACTTTCGATAAATTTTGCACATACGTTTCTTTTGGTTGGTTCCAGTTGGCCTAGCCGAAAAATTAGAGGAATGTTTCGGACCTTTCGGTCCATTGGGCGCTCCAGCTAAATTTCGAAAAGTTTTTAATTTGATCTTATCTTAACATTTAAATTATGCACATAATCTCTTAGAAAGTAAGAATTATTTTATGTTTTTTTGGGTTAAGCAAACATCATTATTGTCATTCGAGTTTTATCTCTGATTTGGGGTCCATCAATATAAATCATGTTCCTCCATTCTTCTCGCTTAAGAGTCCTATTTTTTTTGGACTGCATTATTTATTATACGATGAAAATAGTGTTGGACCCAAAATATGTTAGGAAAAACAAAGAAAACGACACAAACACAATAATTGTAGTGCAGCATTGATTCCTTTTTGTGATCGATGTCCTCTTGCATCCTTTTCCTTGGACAAAACTCATCAGTGCGCCTCCTCCTCCTTTAAGGTCCCTTTCTCATCAAATGTCTAAAGAGATAATGGTTGGTGGGTCACTCTTAAAAAATGATTTGAAAATCATCAATCCAGCTCGTAATCACCCGAGCCAGATTGGGCAAATTAAAATCAAAACCCAGCTATGGTTGTTATCGGCAGGTTTCGGGGAGGGCCCATGAGGCCCGAATCATAGCCAAAAATCATGTAAGGTAGGCCCGGGCCCAAAAAGAGAATTATGGGTCTAGCTTAAAATCTTGCCTACAAGGCCCAAACTTGAAAAATCAGATTGGGCCAGGCCCAATGGGCCTTTCACAAATGTAAGAAATTTTTTACATGTATTAGTTAATATCATATAATGTTTTAGAGTAAACCTTACAATAGCTGGGTAACTATAACGAATAGTAATATAGGTGGAATGTAGAGCCGTCAGATCTACATCATGTGGTTGAAAATGCATATCACCATATGAATTTTTTTTTTTTTCTATTATCTGATTAAGATGAAATTTTGGATGTATATACTTAACACTATCGCGCACCATATAAAAATATAAAAAACTTATTTTCAATAATTTAAAAATGATCAAATTACCCCCATCATTTTTCAGGGGTATTTCGATCATTTTATATTTTGGAAAATATTTTATATATAATTTTTTAATTGTGTTCCTATTTTCTAATACACATGTCTAAATTTTCATTATGATCAGATTTCTAAAAAAAAATATTAAAATTCATATAGTAATATGTATTCTGAGCTACATGATGAAGATATGACGGCTCTCATTCCACCTATATTGTTGACACGTATGGCATGAGGCCTCACATGATTTAGCCTACAATTGTGGGCTTGGAAGAATCCCATGTTTTATTATAATTATCCATAATTATCAATATTCATCCAACTCATCTATCCGAACGATGGAGAATATAGATAATTATGGATAATTATAATAAAACATGGGATTCTTCGAAGCCCTATAATTGTAGGCTCAATCATATGAGTCCTTATGGCCATACGTCTCAACATATATTACTATTAATTATATCTGCCCAGCTATTGTTAGCTTTTTCCATTTTTTAGGTAGGCAACACAATTTCAAAGGGTCTATAAATCATCATCATCCATTTATTTGGGGTAGGCTACACATCATGTTCTGTCATTCCACTCTATCAGGAACATTCCACTCTATCAAGGGTCACACCCTCAGTCAGACCATAGGTATATAATATTGTAGCGAAATTCATGATCCAATGCGCGACCGATCATGGCAGAGGTCTCTAGATATGAGCAAATGTTGGCCAAGTGCTGAATCTTTCAAAAAGTAAACCTAGGAGTATGGTGAAAAGTTCTACCATCCAAAATGCATTTATCTAAATCTTTTGTTTTATTTTTCTATGCAACAGGGGACGTGTTCAAAGATGTCGTAGGGAGTGCATATTATGTGGCTCCTGAGGTTTTGAAGCGAAACTATGGACCAGAGATTGATATATGGAGCATTGGTGTCATACTTTATATACTCCTCTGTGGAACTCCTCCTTTTTGGGCAGGTAATTCATGGTCAGGAGTTTTCTGTTCTTATAAATACATGAATGTTTTGTTGTTGAAGTAAATATAATTATGCCCACTTGTGGTTTTATTAGAAACAAAATATGTTAACTCTAGTCTAGTATTTTGGTTAAAGTAGCTTATAGTATTGCCTTATTTAGTTATTATTGCTTTAGTTTTCATTAGTAAGAATTCTATAAAATATGTTTCAAACATATTTTTGTTACTTTTCCTTTTTACATCTTGTCATTTTTTTGGAGATTGTTTGATTTTATTCTCAAATTTTGGTAATAATTATTGTTAGTTGTTTTGTCTGTGATCTTAATGGAAAGTTATAGTATTTCAACCATTGATTTTTTTTTTTTCGCTTTAACAGAGAGCGACGAGGGTATTTTTGATGAGATCATGAGAGGTCTTATAGATTTCCGTAGCGAACCATGGCCATCGATCTCTGCAGGTGCAAAGGACCTGGTGAGGAAGATGTTGAATCCTGATCCCAAGCAAAGACTCACTGCCTTCCAAGTTCTAAGTAAGTTTCCCTAAACCCGTAATGGCCCTTACGTTTTACATGGGCTCTTCTAAACAAATGTTCAAAAAATTGCCTGTCTGACATGTGACTTGTTTGAGTCGGTCTGGATTGGGAAGTTGGTGATTTTGGGCCGGAAAAACCTGCCATCACCCTAGTCACTTGGTTCCCACTTCCCAGTGTTCTGAAAAAAAAGATTTTGTCAAATATAGCCCAGTCCGACTCTGGCTTACCTGAGTTGAACCTGGGGAACCAACTCGAACCCTTGCCAAGTCACAGCCCCATTCTGATTTTTGAAACTCTGCCCACTAAAATGAATTCTCCAATACAATATTTCCTTGTCCAAAAAAAAAGACCACCCTCCTGCCCGGCCCTCTCTCCAGCTGGCGAAACGGGAAAAGGCTTCGGAAAGACCGGACCGGAGCTAAAGCACCCAAAAAAATACCTCGCCCCACACCCAACCTTCCTTTTGAACGGTTTGGCTCTACGAAAGCACCACCATAACTATCACTTCATCAGTGCCAGCCTATTGATTGGCCCTAGAACATATGTTGAAACCTTAATGAATTGGTCAATGATGATCCTATGGACTAGTTTATTCATCGGTCCAACTGTTATTTGAGTTCAACTCGGCTGAGTCGGAACCCTCGACTCAGACGAGTCAGTGTCAAAATTATAACTTTTTTGGTTAGTTATCTAGACCTGGTACGCCCCCAGATCTGAGTTGCTGGGGCGAGTCCGAGTCAGAGTGAATGATTTGTATCCCTGCTCGAAATAATACTACACCTATTACATTGACAATTAAACTAATTAAGTTCACTACAGATCATCGATGGACCAAGGAGGATGGTGAAGCTTCTGATACTCCTCTGGACAACGCAGTTCTGAACAGGCTGAAGCAGTTCAGAGCCATGAACAAATTCAAGAAAATTGCTCTCAGGGTACATAAAGCTTCTTTTGTTAAAATCTAATTCATATTAATTTGATGCCTTTTGCCTTTCACATTAAAGTCTCTGCCACTCGTACTTGTCTGAAATTATACATTGTGTGGTTTTACAGGTTATAGCAAAAGGTTTATCTGAAGAAGAAATCATGGGGTTGAAAGAAATGTTTAAGGGAATGGACAGAGATAAAAGTGGCACCATCACCTTCGAAGAATTAAGGCGCGGCCTTGCCGCCCAAGGGTCGAAGCTTACAGAGACGGAGGTTAAGCAATTGATGGAAGCGGTGAGAAATCCATGAATTTCTTTTGTTGAATGAATTGGATTTTGAAGGACTTAGCCCTTGATTGGATCTCTCTCTCATTTATTGAGTAATTATTCTGTTTTAGAATTTTTTGTCTCCTAAATTTTGGTTGGGGTTTTCACAGGCCGATGTCGATGGGAATGGTACAATTGATTATGATGAATTTGTCACAGCAACAATGCGTTTGAACAAAATACACAAAGAGGACCATCTTTATACAGCTTTCCAGTACTTTGATAGAGATAACAGTGGGTATGTAAATTTACATATCAGCACTGAAAACATCGCCCTGCGTGTGTGCGCACATGAGTTTTTGTTACTGCTTTTTTCTTTAACAATTTTTTCAAAGTGATGAAATCCTTTAAATTTGATCAGGTATATTACAAAAGAGGAACTGGAGCAAGCCTTAAGAGAACACGGTTTGTACGATGGTCGAGACATAAGAGATATCATCGCAGAAGTTGATGCAGACAATGTGAGTGAATTAGAACGATTCTCCATGTCTAATCTGCATATTGGCCTGACTTTAGTGAAAATTGCTGAAATATTTTGTTATTAAATAAATAAAAATTCCATGTGCAGGATGGTCGGATAAATTACGATGAATTTGCAGCCATGATGAACAAAGAAAATGCAGAACCAAAGGCTAAGAAGAGACAGGACATATTTGCTTATGACCCAAAATAAACCCTTTCCAAATCCCTTCGTTCTTTGTACAGTATTGGAGTGAATTGTTTTAAATAATGGGACGATGTAGATTGATTTTTGTAAATGGTACTAGAAGCAGTCGTTCTTTGTACATTATTGGAGTGAATTGTTTTAAATAATGGGATAATGGAGATTGATTTTTGTAAATGGTACTAGAAGCAGAAATTGAGTTTATGGCAACTTGCATGCATTTAAAAGCCTAACACCCTTCTTCATTAATTGAGCAGTATTTAAATTCCCTTACTCAACGCAGTAAATTTTAAAATTACTCTCTCTCTCTGTATATGTGTGAAAATAAAAGATTTCTTGCCTGCACCAGCTTCGTAGGTCTCAGTAAAATGTAATATATGATATTGATAGGAATATCATGAAATTACTCTCTCTCTATGTGTGTGTGAGAAGAAAAGATTTCATGCCCGCACCAGCTTCGTAGGTCTCATTAAAATATAATATGTGATATTGAGAGGAATATCACGAAAAATTGCATAGTGAATCCGAAACTGTAACTGTCTCTCTCTTTATTTTATGCAAGTGAATGTTCTAATTTTTGAGATGGAAAATAGCTTCCAAATTCTCAATGATTCTATTGCCCTATTTGGATTACACAAACATTATTTGTAACCATCCAATGTGAAATCTGATAGTTTAGGTGTATCAGAAAGTTTGAGAAAATCTCTTTTGAACTTTGAACATGGTCAATGAAATAAATGTTGCCACTCGATTTTACATTCAGTGGTCAAAATTAATTGTGACCACCTCGTATTAAAAGTAAATGGTCTAAATGTATACTTTTCAACATAAACTATTAAAAACCATACAAGGATCGCTATATCATGTAATAATCAAGAAGTTTTTAAAAACTATTAAAAACTATCTTGAAAATTTTTACTATTAAAATTATCTTGAAATTTTTTACTATTAAAACTATCTTGAAATTTTTTACTATTAAAACTATCTTGAAAATTTTTACTATTAATAGTTTTAAAAAACATAGTGAAAATTAAAAATTATTAATTTTTAGAAACTATCTCTAAAAATTTGGTTTAAATTTGAAGAAAGTTTTAAAAAACTATGTTGCAATTAAATTTTTTTAAAAAAATTATAATTTCTTTATAGTTTTTTTAATTTTAATTTTTAAAAATTAATTTTTTTAAAAACAATTAAAAATTTTAATTTTTTTAAAAAAATATCTTGAAATTTAAAAATTTTAAAAACTTAATACTTGAATTTAATTTCAGATAGTTTTTAGATATAATTTTTAAAAACTATCTTGAAAATTAAAAACTATTAATTTTTAGAAACTATTTGCAAAAACGTAGTTTTTAATTACTATTATGAGTTTTAAAAAACAAAGTGACAATTTATACTATTAAAAACTATCTTGAAATTTTTTACTATTAATAGTTTTTAAAAACATAGTGAAAATTAATATTTTTATTTTCACTGTGTCCCTCTTGATTATTCTATTTAAAATAATATTGTAAATCTTTTGGTCGCATATAGTCCTTTTTTATGATAAATATTATATCTGAATTATTTCATATGTTCATGCTTTTTAAATAAATTTTATACTTCTTAAGTGAATGCGATAAAATAACGCAATTTAGTGAAAATGACTATCCCTTATCAATAAGCATGCATTTTTTTTATTAAACATATCTCTCTCACATTTAACTCATTATTTTCCATGCGCAACAAAAAGCCCCAACCCAATAAAAAATGTACATATTTTTATTTATGATCATTTATCCCTCTCACACAAGTTATTATTTTGATCTATTTTTAATAAAAAATATATAGGTTAAGGAAATAAATATGTGTTAATCTCACCTCTCACCTCTAAATCTCTCACTCATCTCTCTTTCCTTGTCTTTAGCAGTCTTTTTTTTTTTCCCTTAAAATTTTCTCCCTTTTCTTATTTTTTATCAATATATCTATATATATATATATATATATATATATATATATATGAATTCTTATCACTCTTTTATTTATAATAAGGTTAATGCTTCTTAATTATGCCTTAAGAGACAAATATATTCGATATAGATATTAATAGAATCTAATGTCTTAAACTAATATACTGGATATTAGCATTAGTAAGACTCTGCATAAATTTATTTATTACTTTTATTTATTTAATTTATATTATTTATTTAAATAATCTTCATTATTTTAATTACATGTTAAATGGATATGTATTAATTAATAATATATTAAAAATAATATTTGCAATCACATTTATTATTAATTAATACAATATTCAATTGTGAAGATAAATGCATTAAATTATTTCTCTCTCTAAAAAACCATGTTTTATTAAAAAAAAACTTAATGATAAATATATTTGAGTGATTAATATTAAAAAGCACGAGCAACGCTCGTACATATTACTAGTAAATTATTTATATGACGAGGCCACGGGGTATTTACCAAATGGGCCTTGAGATCTATTTTATTTCATTTTATGTGAAATATTTTTTAATTCCAATTTTGAGTTTTTAATTTACACTTTACTTAGTAATACAAAAATTACAAATGTTAGAAATCTTTAAATCTTCGATAGAAGTACCTTTTTGTCATAGTGCCTCAACAACACATTTTAGATAAAAGTATAAAAGTTTATACAAAGTTGCAATTTTAAAAATATAGAAATATGTAGAATTAAAGTTGCATCTCAAAAATCCATTAAAAAAATATTGTTTTAATGTTGAAAAACTTCCAATTGATCATCTTGACATCGAGATGTATGCATATGGAAAAAAAGACAAGAAGTTTGAGTTTCAGAATTAGTACATTTTGCAACACATTATCTAGATCGTTTATTTTCAATATTTTCATATGTTTTTAGATCTATTTGGTTTTAATTATTTTTGAAATTTAAAATTTTATAATTATAGATAAAAATAGCTTTTTAAATAATTTAAAAAATTATTTACATCAAAATAATATATTATAATTGGATTGTTTAAGGTTGCAACCTTATAGAAATTCCACCTTTTCTTATTGCGCTCCATTTTCTTTTTTTCTTTTTCTTTTTTTTGTTTTCGTGTGTTTTTGGCTCTTAGTCATTTGCAAATGGCTCGTTATTTGTGAATCGTATGTTAATGTCATTTTTCCAATTGTATGAGGTAAATTGTGGACTTTTGAAAGGCTCAGGTATTTCTAGAGAGATGATTACAGATTTATAGAGAGAGAAATAAGAGATTTAGCACCGAAGAAATGGGTTGCTTCTGTCTCCCTCTCTGGGCTTGAGCTATAAAAATGAGCTCGACCTTCTTCTGTTCAAGAGAGAGGTAAGAACTTCTCCACTCCCTCCTTTTGTGCTCAAAACCAAGAGATCTATTCTCTGGTTTATTTTTCAGATTCTCTGGTTGAGTTTTCAGACCTCTGGTTTTTCTGCTCTTTTCATGGCGTAAACATGCTCCATCACTATCCATTTTGATACACATCTGTGAAATCAATTCAAGTTGTTTTTTAGGTTTTTGGGTCTTTTTTTATTTTCGAATTTTTCATATGGATCTGATAATTGAGGCCCCCAATCGTTTTCTCAGAGATTCATTCTGGTTTTTCAGAGTTGGATTTTGTAACTTCTGTTGAGTCATGGGTTTTGAGTCTCTGTTTGTTGTTTGGGATGTCTGATGCTTTCTATTTACCTGGAAGTTATCCCCACAAATACCTGAAAGGGGATGAGCTATGGGTTAAGGTGCATTCTCTCACCTCTGTTGAAACAGAGCTTCCTTATAGGTATTATAGCCTCCCTTTCTGCAAGCCTCTTGATGGGATCAAGGATAGTGCAGAGAATCTGGGGGAGCTTTTAATGGGGGACCATATCGAGAATTCCCCATATCGGTTCAAGATGAACACCAATGAATCTGATATCTTTCTCTGTGCTACCAATCCTTTGTCAAAAGATGATGTGAAGCTTTTGAAGAAAATGATTGATGAGCCTTATCAGGTGAATCTCGTTCTTGAGAACCTCCCTGCTATTTGATGTACATAGAGAGATGGGTTTAATGTGAGATGGACTGGTTGCCCAGTTGGGTACCAGCTTCAAAATGTGCATTACTTGTTTAACCACCTGAAATTGAAAGTCTTGATTCGTAAGTATGAAGATCCCAGTGTAGCCAGGGTTATGGGTACTGGAGATGCCGTGGAGATGATACCTAATTCTCAAAAGAATGGAGATTCACCTCCTGGTTTCATGGTTGTTGGGTTCGAAGTGGTTCCTTGTAGCTATCAACATGTTGGAGATTCAGCCAAGAATTTGCAGACTTATGATAAGTTTTCTTCTCCGATCAATTGTGACACTGCAACTCTTTCTATGGCTCTCAAGGAAGTTCAGCCTGTAATCTTCTCTTATGAGGTTTCCTTTGTGGAGAGCGATATAAAGTGGCCTTCGAGATGGGATTCTTATTTGAAAATGGAGGGAGCGAGAGTCCATTGGTTCTCGATCCTCAATTCTCTAATGGTGGTAGCATTTTTAGCAGGAATTGTGCTTGTTATCTTTTTACGGACAGTTCGTCGAGATCTAACCAGGTATGAAGAGCTTGATAAGGAGGCTCAAGCCCAAATGAACGAGGAGCTTAGTAGTTGGAAGCTTGTAGTGGGAGATGTCTTTAGAGCCCCACCTCATCCTAACCTCCTCTGTGTAATGGTGGGTAATGGGGTTCAAATTTTGGGGAATGGGGGTTGTTACCATACTCTTTGCAACCTTTGGTTTCATGTCTCCAGCCTCAAGAGGAACTCTCATCATTGGTATGCTATTTTTCTATATGGTTATTGGTGTAGCAGCTGGTTATGTAGCTGTTAGACTTTGGAGGACCATTAATAGTGGGGATCACAAGGGTTGGTTATCTGCTTCATGGAGAGTGGCTTGTTTCTTTCCTGGTATTGTCTTTCTTATTCTCACTACTCTGAATTTCCTCTTATGGGGGTAGTCATAGCACCGGTGCAATTCCCTTCTCACTATTTGTTGTGTTGATTTTGCTCTGGTTTTGCATTTCTGTTCCCTCTGACTTTAGTTGGGGGGAGGGGGGGGGGGGGGGGGTGTAGTATTTTGGAACAAGAGCTGCCCCAATTGAGTAGCCAGTTAGGACGAATCAGATCCCAAGAGAGATCCCACCCCAAAAATACCCTTCTTGGCTATTGGTTTTAGGGGCTGGGATCCTTCCTTTTGG